TAGATATGAATAAATGTTGTAAGGCTTATGTTGTACTGTTTATGCTTTTGATCTGTATCAAACATGACATCTCGAGGTTTTAATATAATGAAATACATTTATTCGGAAATGCATTGATAAATCTTTATCATATTTTTTTTGGGAACAAATTCCGCAACACCTTTCTTTAAAATGTTACTTTGATTTTCAAACAAAGCATAAACAAATCGGTATTTTCTGGCCGTGAAAATGGAGATGTCATGGAGTGAATGGGGATGCCAAGAAGAATAACATAGCAATTACACTTTTGTTTCAAGCCATACCCGAGGAGCAGACATTGCTAATAGGAAATCTTGTAACTGCAAAGGAGATGTAGGAGGTTCTCAGAACCCGTCATTTGGGTGCGGATCGAATTCGGGAGGCGAGACTTCAAACTCTAATGGGAGAGTTTAAAAATCTGAAGATGAAGGACCAAGAGGTGATAGACAACTTTGCTAATAATTTGCTTGAGTATGTTTCTCGAGCTGCCTTACTAGGATCGGTTATGGAGGAAACAAAATTGGTTAGGAAATTTCTTAATGGGTTACCAAAATGTTTTATTTATATGGTGGCTTTTATAGAACAGATTGTAGACTTGAAGACCATCGGTTATGATGATGTTGTGGGCCGACTCAAAGCTTATGAAGAAAGGATCAAAGTTGAGGAGATCCAACCTGAGCAAAATCAACTTTTGCTTGCAAATTCTGATGAAAAAACAAAAGAAAAAGAGCATAGGTGTGAGCATTGTGGTTGTGGAAACTCGAATCGGGAAGACTATGGGCGTGGCCGAGGTGGAGGTCGTGGGTCCGGGAAAAGTCGAGGAGATGGTCGAGTACAACGGGACAAGAGCCACGTAAAGTGTTACAAATGTAATGAAATCAGACATTACATATCAGAGTGTCCATTGTGGGAGAAAAAGAATGATCTCAACTTGACCCGGTGCGAGGATGAGGAACCGGCACTGCTGTGAATGAGCCACCTGATTAAGGGGGTGATTGTTGGGATTAATCAGGTTCAATTCACAGGTTTAAATGCATGGCTTCTTTTTTAATAAGTTTTAAGGTTTTTAGCTAATAGTTTATCATTGGTTTACGTTATTTAAAGTTTGAATAAAGGAAAATGGGTAAAGGGGTTTGACTGTTTCAATGATATGTACGTTGGGGTTTTACACGTTTAGGTTTAGAAGAAGAAGTCATACCATGTACCTTTTCTTTAGGATTAGATTAGTATTTTTCTGCTTTTAGTTTGTTCCCACTGTCCTACGTGATGTATGCATGTAAGCCTATATATAGGCTTTCTTTGATATGAATAGAGTACGTTTTCTTTTCTGCAAGTTTAAAAGTACACCATTTATACTTCATATAAAAAGGTCTTTTATTCTCTTCTCCAAGTTCAGATATATACGAGAGTTTAGAGTGTGAGATTTGAGGCTCTCTAACAAACAACTAAACCATGCTCCTACTCGGCTCTGATAGTCTTGCTTTGCTATCTAATTAAAACACTCAAGCTTACTCACGATCCACTAACTATCAAAAACAATTGCATCCTAACAAGATGCACATCGATCCCAACAAGACTTAACTAACCCTATCAGGCGTTTGGGTCGTGACTCCGACTTCCAAGCCCCAACAAGACAAGAAAAGACAAGGAAGCCCTCATCACATCCCTCAACCTGGGCTCCTAACATCCCAGATTCTAAACAACAAGAACGCCCTATAGATTTCTATCGCAACTAGAAACTAATATAACTCAAGGAAAATCCAACAACTAACGATGGTATTGATGCGAAATCGGAAGATTCAACAGTTGCGCAAAAGTCTTGAACTTGGAGAATTCGACTAAGAACTGAACCTTGGCATAAGTTCTTCCTGTTGTGAGGTTCCACTCTCCCCCACTTGGAATACGCTAGAATCTGACAACTTCATAGTCCTTTGATAACCAGACCAGCTTGAACTCTAATGGTTGATCCTAACTACTGGTATCCAGGTACACAGGATAATTTGAACCCACACAACATTCACAAATTCCAACACACATGTAACCAAGAACAACTATAATTAATCCATTAATAATAAGAAATCTATTTTAAACAAAGCTAAATAAGATAATTCCATTCAACCGATCATCCAAGATTACAACTAAGCTTCGAAACATAAAGAGAAATTACAGATGAATATCAACACTGCAACAATCGACTAAATAAAAGAACTAATAACTTAAACCTCAATCTCTGGGGATCCGACTGTCCTACGATGACCTTCGGGAAGCTGTCAAGCTAGGGGTGTAGGGTTTAGCACCTCACCAAAAACAAGAAAGGGGCAACGAGCTCTGATGTGGTCCTCGTATCTTCAATGGAAGCAAACTCACGAACTCCGCCTGTAATCTCTACCAAAATGACCCTCATCGCCACACTCACGACATACAAAAGAACGAAACCTCCAATTATGAAACTTTCCACACTTGCCACACTCGGGTCTCCTCCTCTTAGATGATCCTAAACCCGGGTCGCCGGACTTGAACCGCTTGGTCGCCGGCTGATACTATCCAGAAGTTGTCCCTTCCTCCTTCTGTTGAACCTCCAACTCAATCTCCCTCCTCCTGGCGCTTGACTGCATCTCAGTCAAGGTCTGATACTGTTGAGTCGATACAAACTCTTGAATCTTTGTCTTGAGCATACTCAAGCACACTTTAGGCAGAAAAGAGCTCTCTCCATAAACATCTTGGTGACTCCGTCACCAACTCAGTCGTTTGCTTGAGCGACAGGTACTCCTGCTCCAGTCGCTCCCGCTCCATAAGAGGAACATACTCTGCTCGGAAAATATCCAAAAACTGCTCCTAAACTCCCACTAATCCCTTGCACCTCAGTAAAGAAGATTAAGCGCAAACTTCACCTTCTGGATATCATGACACAAACATGTGAAAAATACATCCCTCCATATCAAAAATCCATATCAAAGTGATAATTAGGTCCCTGTCGCTTATGAACTCCGGGGGATTCGTATAAATGAATTTCTGGTACTGCATCATCTCACCTATCTGAGATCCTGCAATAGCTATGACAACAGCTACCTGCATGACGACAACATAGCACCGATCAAACTCCTCAATCAGCACAGTCTTGACCAACCCAAACAACTCAAGAATAGCCTTTCTGATTTCCAAGGCCACTTCGATGACAATGATCCTGCGAATCTCCTCCTCCTCCAAACCTGCTCTCATAGTGCCACTATCACCTGATCCTAAGCCTACAATATCATGGAAAGATCATACATCAAAACACAACGCTCAGCACACTAGGCCACTCCTAGGCGTGCTAACACCTACATTCTTCTATGAGCTACAACTAACTTCCTAGGATTATCCTCGCTCCTACTGGTTGCTTTTGTGTATGCTTTTTGTACAGAATAAGGGGTTAGATAGACTGTAGAATAATCAACTCTTCCCCAAGTCCACAACCCAACAAGGAACATAAAGTAAGAGTAAGTCGATCATTCTAAGGCTATTTAATCACCACCATATAAAACTAATCAACATACACGTAACAATCAAACAATCAAGTAACATATAACAAGCAACTCCCTATAGCAAAAGGCATCACAAAAACCGGGCATTACTATCCAACAGTTCCTAAAAGAACCTTATCCACTAGCATGCTCTTCTAACAATCCACATATCAAAAAACAAAAACAAAACTCAACACATATAACAAGTATGAGTATTTTGGAACCACTCTCATGTTCGAGCTATGACACTAAAAGAACCTTATCCACCGCATCTTCCTGTAAAACGAAATTTAAGTCAAGGTCCAAGTTCTCGATCCCAAAGACAACAATCAAACAAGAACACAACAATAGACTGAGCCCATGTCCCTAACCCAACCCTTTTATTTATAAATTCATTTTCAAAAACGTTTTGTGTAAATTGTTGGATCCTAGTTTAATTGAGTTGCAGGTAAGGAGAATGATTTTTGGGGGAGAGATGAAGGAAATCGAAAGAACACATTTATGGATTTCATTAAAGTCAAGGATAAACGATCACACTTATGGATTTCATTAAAGTCAAGGATATACGATTTACCCCTTTAAAAAAACTTGAAATGGACCTTTTAGAAACTCCACCTATTCTCTAAAAAGCCAGAAAACAACTTCAAAGGGCGTGTTTGGCACGGAGCTTTTGAAAGCGTTTGAGAGCTTCTAGCTTTTAACTTTTGACAAAACGCTCTATTTTAACAAAAAGTTTTGTTTGGCAATACGAACGTTTAGTTTTTAGTTTAAACAAAACGATTCAAATCTAAAAGCTACTTCATGTAGCGTTTAACAAAACGCTACTGAGCTTTTGAAATCAATTTTCATAATTACCCTTAAAAATATATTTATATATTTATTTATTTTTAATTTGTTGTCATTTTATGTAATTTTATATATTTCAAAAACTTTCAGCTACTTTTGCCAAACACTCATATAACAAATAAAAGCTACACCTTCCCGCTACCAGCTACCCGCTATACCCTATCAGCTACCCGCTTCCAGCTAACAGTTATTTTTGCCAAACACGCCCAAAGACCTTTTAAACTTAAATGTTACGTGGGTATATGTTAATTTATCTACGCTAATTTATCTACGCTGTATTTAATGTTAAGTTTACCGATAGATTGGATGCACTTAACAACAATTTTAGCATAACATTTAAGTTTTAGTGCGAGTCTGTAGAAGCTTTTAAACCCGAATAAAATCCACAAAACCTACAACAATTTGTACAATTTCTAATATGAATGCATAAAAAAATTAATAACAATGTCAATGTAAGGTAGCAAAATAGGATAAAAAAACGAAGCCAGGAAGATTTGAGAAAGCAACATTATAATTTCAATATCAAAAGCAAGCTCCAAAAATCAATCACTTCACCAAAACATCAAATTTATGTAAATTGAGTTTAACATCAAAACTTAAAAACTCATCCTAGATGGGTGATTATCTCTACCGTTAGACCTTAATAGCATATTTCCTCAATGGAAAGTACTTCTCCTTTTTCCTCTCCCTTTCAGTCTTCAAAGAAACGTGAATTAATCAAAGGGTAAACATTACAACATGTTTATAATATGAATTACAAAGCAATTTTTTTGTATGATCACAATTTCATAACAGAAAAGCCACTGAATGATACCTGATGCTTGGTTAAACGCCTGCGAATGGCTCTGGTTTTCTTAGGGCGCAAATCAAGAGGCAAGTATTTCTTGTTATTGTAGGCTTCCCTGAATTTTGCTTTCTGTGTCTGTGAAATAACAGTCAGCACCTGTGCAATTGATGTCCTCACCACTTTTCTGCAGCCATGATTATATAAAATCATCAAGAACAAAGAATATATTGAATCTAATACCAAACACCATAAGTTCAAATTGAACATACTTTAATAGAAAATAACGAAAAGCAGATAGTTGAAACTTAAGAAGCAATTCATAACTTACTAAGAACCGATTTAAAATCCCTGAATGGAGAAAGGTCTGAGTTTAATTGATCATTTATTCTATTCTGATATCGAGTTTTCTTAAGATGCGTATCCAAACTCATATCCAGATGATATTCATTCAACATTGATACAAAGGAGTTACATGTAGACGGAGTCAGTGTAAGTGAGAAAAGTCAGAAGGGATAAATTACATTTTGGAGAGCTTGTTGGGAGCACCGTCGGTGACTTTGGCGACACGGAGAAGAGCGAGCTCAGCCTTAAGATCCTTCAACTGAGCAAACAAATCAGCCTTCGTTTTGTCCCTCAACTCATGAACTTTGATCCGAGCTTCACGTAACAAATGATGAAGGACGAAGAAGGATTGTGTAACGAGGCTTTTGTATATATTACAAGTATGGGCCCAAACCCTTTTGTCTGTTCTAGCGTAAACTAAAAGCCCATTTCGGCCCCCTTAGAACATCTTCTAAATCTAAACTACCTAATAAGAATCTTTTTACCATTTGTTCTATTCTTATAAGTTTTAATATCTGGAATTTTTTAGTAATTTTAAATTAAATTTTATCCACGTGTCATATTTTGATGTTTTTCACTTTAGACGTGGAGCTGACATGGCTGCTACGTCAGCTTGTTATATTAATCTGAAAAATAAATGCGGCATGGAAGGAAAAATACATTCGAACTTGAGAACATAGACACAAAGATGCAAAGCCTTAACCACCGAGATAAAAGTTCTCCGACTTTTTGTTTTCTAATTCAAAACTATTCTAGTTTTAATATTAAACTCTAACAAAATTTAACTTTTAGCTATTCTAATAATTACGTACATAATTATATTAAAAGAGTTTTCGACGTTAATATTATCATACCTCATTTTCGTTTGTGTTAAGTTTCTAAAAAAGATTACCAATCTCTCTCCCTAATAAAACACTCTACTAAATGCCACTTGTCCAACTATTAGCACAACATGTTGCCACGTGTCATTACTCCAGAATTCTACATCTTCATTTCCCGCCGATATAATCCCAAGATATTTCGTTCACATTCAAAACCCTACATATTAGCATAATTATCAGCATCAATATAAATCAACATAATTAAGAAAAAAAAAATCGCTGGAGTTTATATGCATAAAAATAGGAACAGAATATGCAAAAATTATAAATGCAGAGTCCGTTATTTTATGTGATTTATATCCTAAAATATGTATCATAAATATCTTAAACATCCTTAATTACCGGAATTTGAATCAATTTGAATCAATTCAAAATATTTGATACTGATTCCTGATTTATAGCCTAAATTATATACATAAACTATCGGTTAGCATATCACAAAAATAAGTCTCACACTGTGCACACTAAGTGATCGTCAAAACCTTATGAGTGATCGTCACAGAAAGCCAAAATAAGTCTCACAAAAGTTTCTGTCACAGAAAGCCAAAATCATCAGGTTAGCATATCATCTTCAACTATCAGTGTTCATTCTTTTGATTTTCTAATTTGAAATCCTTCTTCTTCTACTTCTTCTTCAATTCGATTATTACATGTAAGCAAACAACCTGTATTGCTAAACAGAGAATCAATCAAAACTTTTAAGTAATCCGCCAAGAAGGATATTCCGAAATTTATGAATCATAATAATTGTTCTTTTCATTGATTGATACTGGTAAACATATATTCAATCAAAACTTTTAAATAATATCAGTATAATTTATATCATAAATAATAAGTGTTCTTTTCATTGATAGAATATGATTTATATAAATGTGAATAACAGTTTTACAACAAATTTTTTTTTTTCCTAATAGTTTTATTTTTTGCAGTTCAATGGCAGCAGCAAAACTTACCTTCATATCTGATTTGGATGTAACCAGGGATGACTTGACCTTCAAGCTTCGTGTCATAAACCTTTGGCATCAAATGTGTTTCAACAAAAAAACTGAAATTTGGTCAATTGAAATGATCTTATTGGATGAAAAAGTACCTTCCAAAACTTAATTTGATATATTTCTTACACATATTTCGTTGTATTTAATTATTTCTAAAGTTTTTATTGTTGTATTAAATATTTTAGGGAAACAAAATCCAAGCAACAGTTTCAAAAAGAAACATATATCGATTCAAAAATATATTAAAGGAAGGCATGGCATTTTACATCAAAGGTCCAGACTTTGCAGCACTGAAGATAGATACTTTTAGGTTAACTCCTCAAGATCAGAAACTCACATTCGTCCAACAAACTGTTGTTACAGAGTGTATCGATTTTTCTGGACATGAGTTTGGGTTTTCATTTGTTGATTATGAAAACATTTTATCATTCGCCCATCCTCAAGATAAATCTGTTGGTTAGTACATATCATTATATCTTTAAATATAATAAAATGTTTTCTAAATCCTATAATAAGTTTCATTTTCCTTTTTTATTTTTATAGATGTTATGGGTTTAGTTGTCGCAGTTGCTGAGCTACAACGACATGATCCAGATAAATCTAAACACAAGATTTGTTGGTTTGCTCTTACTTTCTTTTAGCTGTTGGTAAGTTTTTTTTTTTTTTTTTTTTTTTGACCTGGTGGACGGTTTTGCCCTTGGTTCTTGTGTGATTCTATAATTGTCATTTTTTTTATGTTGCCTTTTAGTTCATTGAAATGGTGTTGATCTGTTGTGGTCTTGCTTAGGATTGGTTTCCTTTTTGTGATTTTTTTAATATGTGTTTGAGCCATTCACATTTATTATTATTTTTTTGTCTATATTCTGGATCTATACATTTAAATTCATTTGTTTATTTTTAAATTGGAACACTTTTTGTTTTTAAGTTATGTAAGATATGTTAATAATAACTAGCCGTCTACCCGCGCAAAGCGGCGGGGCACGTGAGTTCTTTCGGTGATATGTTTCCATTACAAAATTGTTATGTTAAAAAAAAGTACATGTTGAAGACAATATAATCAAACTATGGTGTTATTTGTTACATCATGCATCAAATAACCAATAAAAAGCAACCAGTCAAGACGACACAAAATATTAATCGTGCAATACTTCTTTATACACCACATTTGCTGTATAAACCCCATCACCTTTTGAATTTTCGTTAGGCTTTACTAATACTTTTGTATTGCAACGTGAAACCCCTCTGGACAATGCAACATAAAGTTGTCCATGCGAGAATACTGGTTCTGGAAGATAGATACCTACATATGGAATTGTTTGTCCCTGAGCTTTATTGATTGTCATTGCAAAGCACAATCGAATAGGAAACTGTTTCCTCATTAGAGGATCGATGGTTGCTACTAATTGCTTGTAACTGGTATTGGTTTCATATCGATGGATGTGGATTCGCATATGAAATCAATTGTGTTCGCATCTATGAAATCAGTTCGCATATGACAACAATTGAGTTCGCATTTGGTTTTGTGGGTCAAAACAGTTCGCATAAGAAGTTCACGATTTGTTTGAGGTTAATTGATTTTGATTTCGCAAGCTTGGAGTCGGAGATCTGGATTGTGTTCGCATCTATAGAATGCGAGGAGAATTTAATGGTGATATTCAGTTTGCATTTGGTGACACAAGTACGTGGTTGATGATTTTTGGTTGGTTCGCATTTGAAATTAGTGGGTTTCGCATTTGGGTTCGTATCTGGGTTTCTCAAACAACTGAAATGCGAATATGAGACAACTGATTAATTTCTCAGTTAATGCGATGAAATGCGAATGAACTCTGTAACATCCCCCTCTGGCACGTATCACAATATTATCCGCTTTGGGCCACTCGGCACGAGAACTTCCCAGGGGGTCACCCATCCCGGTACTACTCCCACCCGAGCACGCTTAACTGCAGAGTTCTTATGGGATCTGCTGCCCTCACGGCTTTAAAACGCGTTGTGACAAGGAAGGTATCCACACCCCTTATAAGTAGATGTTTCGTTCTCCTTCCAAGCCGATGTAGGATCAGGTGCAACCCACCTTTCACCCCCCATTATAGGGTTCGACGTCCCTGTCGAACACATCGACCCGTGCCCTAGCTCTGATACCATTTGTAACACCCCCTCTGGCACGTATCACAATATTGTCCGCTTTGGGCCACTCGGCACGAGGACTTCCCAGGGGGTCACCCATCCCGGTACTACTCCCGCCCGAGCACGCTTAACTGCAGAGTTCTTATGGGATCTGCTGCCCTCACGGCTTTAAAACGCGTTGTGATAGGGAAGGTATCCACACCCCTTATAAGGAATGCTTAGTTCTCCTTCCCAGCCGATGTGGGATCAAATCTAACCCACTTTAAAGGTGGGTTGCACCTGATCCTACATCGGCTTGGAAGGAGAACGAAACATCTACTTATAAGGGGTGTGGATACCTTCCTTGTCACAACGCGTTTTAAAGCCGTGAGGGCAGCAGATCCCATAAGAACTCTGCAGTTAAGCGTGCTCGGGCGGGAGTAGTACCGGGATGGGTGACCCCCTGGGAAGTCTCGTGCCGAGTGGCCCAAAGCGGACAATATTGTGATACGTGCCAGAGGGGGATGTTACAAATGGTATCAGAGCCAGGGCACGGGTCGATGTGTTCGACAGGGACGTCGAACCCTATAATGGGGGGTGAAAGTGGGTTAGATCTGATCCCACATCGGCTTGGAAGGAGAACGAAACATTTCCTTATAAAGGGGTGTGGATACCTTCCTTGTCACAACGCGTTTTAAAGCCGTGAGGGCAGCAGATCCCATAAGAACTCTGCAGTTAAGCGTGCTCGGGCGGGAGTAGTACCGGGATGGGTGACCCCCTGGGAAGTCCTCGTTCCGAGTGGCCCAAAGCGGACAATATTGTGATACGTGCCAGAGGGGGGTGTTACAAATGGTATCAGAGCTAGGGCACAGGTCGATGTGTTCGACAGGGACGTCGAACCCTATAATGGGGGGTAAAGGTGGGTTGCACCTGATCCTACATCGGCTTGGAAGGAGAACGAAACATCTACTTATAAGGGGTGTGGATACCTTCCTTGTCACAACAACGCGTTTTAAAGCCGTGAGGGCAGCAGATCCCATAAGAACTCTGCAGTTAAGCGTGCTCGGGCGGGAGTAGTACCGGGATGGGTGACCCCCTGGGAAGTCCTCGTGCCGAGTGGCCCAAAGCGGACAATATTGTGATACGTGCCAGAGGGGGTGTTTAGATTTGATCCCACATCGGCTGGGAAGGAGAACTAAGCATTCCTTATAAGGGGTGTGGATACCTTCCCTATCACAACGCGTTTTAAAGCCGTGAGGGCAGCAGATCCCATAAGAACTCTGCAGTTAAGCGTGCTCGGGCGGGAGTAGTACCGGGATGGGTGACCCCCTGGGAAGTCCTCGTGCCGAGTGGCCCAAAGCGGACAATATTGTGATACGTGCCAGAGGGGGTGTTACAAATGGTATCAGAGCTAGGGCACGGGTCGATGTGTTCGACAGGGACGTCGAACCCTATAATGGGGGGTGAAAGGTGGGTTGCACCTGATCCTACATCGGCTTGGAAGGAGAACGAAACATCTACTTATAAGGGGTGTGGATACCTTCCTTGTCACAACGCGTTTTAAAGCCGTGAGGGCAGCAGATCCCATAAGAACTCTGCAGTTAAGCGTGCTCGGGCGGGAGTAGTACCGGGATGGGTGACCCCCTGGGAAGTCCTCGTGCCGAGTGGCCCAAAGCGGACAATATTGTGATACGTGCCAGAGGGGGTGTTACAAACTCAAAGACGGATGGATGCAAGATGGGGTTAATTTGAATGAAAATGCGAAGTTTTTAATGTATAAATGCGAATTGGGGAAGAAAGCTTAGAGTTTCGCATTTGGCACCTGATCTTTTCAAGAAATAATATAAGTGGTCCAACTTCGCAAAATGGGGTCATTTAATCAGAAAATCGATCATTCTTCAAATATGACATTTAATCAGAAAATCGATCTAAAAATGAGACATTTGGTGTTTATCGATTTTTCAGGGTCGACGGGTTGTATGAAAAGCGAAGGCTGAGTAATTGAAAATTAGAGGATCGATGGTTGCTACTAATTGCTTGTAACTGGTATTGGTTTCATATCGATGGATGTGGATTCGCATATGAAATCAATTGTGTTCGCATCTATGAAATCAGTTCGCATATGACATCAATTGAGTTCGCATTTGGTTTTGTGGGTCAAAACAGTTCGCATAAGAAGTTCACGATTTGTTTGAGGTTAATTGATTTTGATTTCGCAAGCTTGGAGTCGGAGATCTGGATTGTGTTCGCATCTATGGAATGCGAGGAGAATTTAATGGTGATATTCAGTTCGCATTTGGTGACACAAGTACGTGGTTGATGATTTTTGGTTGGTTCGCATTTGAAATCAGTGGGTTTCGCATTTGGGTTCGTATCTGGGTTTCTCAAACAACTGAAATGCGAATATGAGACAACTGATTAATTTCTCAGTTAATGCGATGAAATGCGAATGAACTCAAAGACGGATGGATGCAAGATGCGAAGAATTTGAATGAAAATGCGAAGTTTTTAATGTATAAATGCGAATTGGGGAAGAAAGCTTAGAGTTTCGCATTTGGCACCTGATCTTTTCAAGAAATAATATAAGTGGTCCAACTTCGCAAAATGGGGTCATAAAAAGACAAAAGTGCAGAATTTTCATTTCGCATCCCTGTAGTCTTCGCAAAATGGAAAATTTTACCCAGTTTCGCATTTGGGGTAAATTTTTTTGAGAAATTGGAATATTTTCAAACTTTTTTTCTTAAAAAAAACACATTGTCTTCGTCTAAGAGAGGGAGAAAAACGATTAGGGTTTATAAGGGAAATACTTCATGGCAGTGGGATTTATAGCAGGGTTTATAAGGTGGAGAGAACAAACACACGTCTGCTATGAGATATTTTAATCAGCTGCAAATGCAACATTTAAAGGATATTTGTTGAAGCGTATTAGGATGAAAAGGTTTTAAATTTTGAATGACCATGAAATTAGGATTTTGCTGAGAAATATAAGGAATCAAAAGTTCCATTAGCTGTGTCTTTTGCAATGACAATTAATAAGAGCCAAGGACAGTCTTTATCGAAAGTTGGTTTGTTTCTAAAGGATCCTGTTTTTACACATGGTCAATTGTATGTTGCTTTATCCAGAGTTCAAAGTAGACAAGGATTAAGATTGTTGATTTTAGATAAACACGGTAGACTAACAAATAAAACATCAAATGTTGTGTATAAAGAAGTTTTTAGAAATTTGTAAAAACTTTCTACAATTTTTTTTTATATGAATTTCTATATTTGGTTTACTTATTATTATATTTCATTTTATAAATTTATAAATTTTTTTCATATACACAAATACAAAATACCTGCATTTTAAATAACAAAAGGCCCCTAATTTCAACTAATAGTTATGTCATTATCATATTACTGCAAAACATATACACTTTAATTATTAAAGATTTTATTATCTATTATCAATATAATTTTCAAATAAATGACTTATAATTTAATTAAAAAATATATTTTAATTTCTAACCCGTGCTACCCACGGGTTATAACCTAGTTT